GAGGAGGAGGGTGGAGAGGAGGGAGGGTGGAGAGGAAGGAGGAGGGTGGTCAGCCAGGCAGGACAGGGCCCTCTGGGCACAGGGCACACATCCATGTCAGAAATGTGCCTCCATAAGAGCCAGCTCACCCCAGAGCTCACCAGCAGGTCTCACCACATCCACCCAGAGGCAAAGGCAACCTGAGCAGAGAACTTGGGAAAGAGGGTTGGAGGCATCCTTCCTTGAGGGGTCTCTGGTCCAAAGGGGAGGTGGAATGGGAGGGAGAAAGGAGGGGGAGGGAGACCAGGGGGTTGGAGAAGCAAGGGAGGAGGGGGGAGAGGAGGGAGGGTGGAGAGGAGGGAGGAGGGTGGAGAGGAGGGAGGAGGGTAGAAGGGGCTGGGTGTGGCCGAGTCTTTCAGGAGCTGTGGCCGATCAGTGTACCAGGTTGTCCAGGGCTCATGGCCTAGCCTGGCCTCCTCTTGCCACAGATATCAAGTCCTCACCAGATGGGAGTAGCTAAACGACATCTCAATGTTTCAGGCTAAATCCACAGGTCCCTTGATGGAGCTGAGCCCAAGGCTCAAGGAAAACACGATGCTGGGTGCACAGGGGTGGCATCTCTGAGGAGAGACACTTGGTTCACATGGACAGCGAAAGGGGGAGTCTGTGTGGCTCCTGAGGGGCCCTGGCATCAACGTTACCTCTGATTTACAGAGGCGGCCAGCCAGGCCCCAGCACCCCAGATGCTGGTGTCCTGGACCTGGTTTGACAGAACGAGTGTGGACGAGTGTGGAGCTATGGAACGTCTTGCTTTCACTTTAACTGGGACCAGTAGTGGACGTGAATAGGTCCTTGCTGTGCCTGGACTCTGAGGACCAGTTACTGGGAGGGGTGACACAGAAGAGGGTCTAAGTGGCCCTGCCCTGTCTCTGAGCTCTCTCATCTGACGCTACCCCCAGGGCTTACGGTTTACTGCTTCCTACATAGAACAATACCTCAAAGTGGGGCCTGGATCTCTCTGTTCATGGCCCATGAAGCGGTGCAGGGCATACAGTAGATGCTCAATAAATGCTCATGATAGGCATGTTCTTTGCCACATTCGTTTCCCTCTATCACAGGCTCACAAAGCTGGGCCCCAACACATCCCACCTGAGCCCAACCACTGTTGGTGGGAAGTCGGGTCACAGGTCAGGGGTCAGGCTGATCTTGAGATGGTGGGGAGTCTGGGGGCCTCTGACTGGTCTTGACCCTCTGGGTGTAGAGACCAGGGTTTGGAACTGGCTGAATGTGTGGGTCAGAGTCTTTGTCTTTGTTGTGATCACAGGGGCCTCCCTTTCCAGCCCCATGCCTGCATGGGTCCACTCTATGCCATTCCTGTATCTCCCTGTCCAGCCTCATGCCTGGATGGGTCCGCTCTGTGCCATCCCTGTATCTCCCTGTCCAGCCCCATGCCTGGATGGGTCCGCTCTGTGCCATCCCTGTATCTCCCTGTCCAGCCCCATGCCTGGATGGGTCCGATCACAGGGGCCTCCCTTTCCAGCCCCATGCCTGCATGGGTCCACTCTATGCCATTCCTGTATCTCCCTGTCCAGCCTCATGCCTGGATGGGTCCGCTCTGTGCCATCCCTGTATCTCCCTGTCCAGCCCCATGCCTGGATGGGTCCGCTCTGTGCCATCCCTGTATCTCCCTGTCCAGCCCCATGCCTGGATGGGTCCGCTCTGTGCCATCCCTGTATCTCCCTGTCCAGCCCCATGCCTGGATGGGTCACATCCCTGTATCTCCCTGTCCAGCCCCATGCCTGGATGGGTCCGCTCTGTGTCATCCCTGTATCTCCCTGTCCAGCCCCATGCCTGGATGGGTCTACTCTACGCCATTCCTATATCTCCCTGTCCAGCCCCAGGCCTGGATGGGTCTGCTCTGTGCCATCCCTGCACCTGCTTACTAGGTCTCATTTTAGGACTCTCCTCCCTAGGTCCCATAAACCAGAGGACAGCCAGATCCTCCCAGCCATAGTTAAAGCATTATCATACCTTTTTTTCCTTTTTTTGAATTGAACACAGTATTTATTCCTGGCTCTCACATTCCAAAACCTTGACCGAGTCACCCCCTGACACCCCTTTGTCTCTAGTCTACAGCTCCCGTTAGCTCTCCGCAGAGCCATCTGCTTGGGTTCCCACTATCCTGACTCTGTGTGTTGGAGAAAAGGAGAGTTTTCCTGGAATTGGACATTAGCAGCTAAGTCATTGGGGAAGACAGAAGAAAGCAGGCTGTCACTGCATCCCGTCCCGGACCAGCCCTGGAGGAGGAGGAATGTGGCGAGGCTGAGGCTCCTCTAGCACACCAGCCCCTGCTGGGCTCAGCTGCTCCTCTCAGACACAGGGGGACAGGCTGAGTGTCAGGGCAAGCTCAGCCACGTCTCCCTGCTGGGTGCACACAGCCCAAGGACACCTCCTAATGTCCCTCTGTCTTCATCAATCTCTGTCCGTTAACCACATCTCTAATGGCTTTTAAATGAGTGTTTTGTTTGGAACATTTCACCGGCAACACTCAAACCACATGACAGAGAATGCCAGCAGGACAACACGGTACCCCACAGGATGGCTTGCGATGGCTGGGGGTCAGGGAAGCTCACAGCCTGGGCAGCAGGGCTGGCGTGGCTCCTCTGGATGCCCGGCCTGGGCAGATATCCCTCAGACACGCCCACAACACCGTGGCCTGGTCAGTGGGTGGGGAGGTCTCTGTGTGGCTGAGCTGTCATGTCTGTGGGGATCACCAGAATGCTGAAGCTCAGGAGCCCGGGTGGGGGCTCGGTCATCGCAGGCCCTGACCTGCCCACAGGGATGCCTGCTTTAGGGCCATTGGGGTGTCTCTCCTAGTGGGGCCAGACCAGATGGCGAAATCCAAGAAGCGGAGGAGCACTGGATCCTTCCCAGGTCTGATGCTTGGAGCCTGCTCCTGCACAGTGCCTGCCTTGGGGCTTTTGTCGTCAACTGGAAGGCCCTGCCCCGCGTGCCTTTCATGCATTCTTCGGCTGGGAATGATCACATACTCTTTCCTAAAAACTAAGCTGCAATCGCCCCAGTGCTCCCAGCCTCTGCCCCATTCTTGGAAAGTGCCCCCAGCTTCGGGGTCTACACACATAGTGTCAGTGCACATGCCCTCCAAGGACTCTGTGCAGCTGTGACCCCTGGTAAGCCGCGTCTCTTCTCCTTGCCCACTCCCTACTCTGCCACCACAGGACACAACTTGAGGCGGGCGCTGTATCCAGTGCTGCACCCGGCACCTCTGTCCACATCATTAAATAAGGAGAAGAGAAGATGGGCACTGGGTCTCTCTCTATGCTGGACTCTGACCTTGCCCTTGGGCTTCCAGTAAGATTTCCCTGGGCGCAGCACTTGGGAGCAGCCTGTCGCTACACTGCTACCTTCAACAGACTGGGGCCCAAGTGCTGCCCAGTGTGTGAGCCTTGGTCACACTCCTGAGGGGGATGCCCTGTCCACAGGTGTTCTAGCATTCTCTCCCCTCCGTGCCTCCTTTGAAGAAAGCAGCTTGAACCCAGGGGCAGCTGGGGACTCTGGGTAAGGACCCTGGCAAGGCCATCCTGGGGTCCAGTGTCTGTCACCTGCCGCTTGCTTGGTTCTTCTGCCCTTTCTCCAAGATGCAGCTGAGAGTCGTAGCCCAGCCATTGGGTGTGTATGTCAATGTGTGTTTATGCATGTAAGGGTGTGTGCATGCCCCTGCAGGTCATACATGCAGCTCTGTCAGTAGGCAGAGAGACTGCAGGCAAGGTTCAGCCTGGAGAAGAATACTATTGCTTATGATGTCCACCACTCCTTCCCATCAAGCCACACGGCTGCAGAGGGGTCCTGTCCACGTACTGCCTCGTACAATGTGGGCATAAGAAAAGAGTTTCTGCTCTTTGATTGGAATTCTCCATCGAGCCCTGATTTTCAAAACCAAGGTAGGGACTCAGACATCGGGAGCCCCAAAGCTCTCAAATCTGGCTATGGGGACTCCTAGGGAAGGGACCTGCCTCTTTCCTACCAGCCTTGTCCCCACAGAACACCACCATGATCCCCTGGTAATGACTTGGCAGCTCCAGCTTGTGTGAGGTCTCTGCAGACCTAGAGAACCCTGACGCTTTCAGAAGCTGCTCACTAGGAGCAGGGACAGCTGGGCCCACCGAGGCAGAACACTGCCAGAAAGCTGCAGCCGTATTGTACAAATGAGCCCCAGAGTGGCAGGTGCCCCTGTGCTCAGTGAGGCTCTCCCTCCTGGTCCCCAATGAGCGTGTTACATCTGCCCTGTGATCACAGGCACACAGGAAGCCAGATGGCGGAAAGAGCAGGAAACACCATCCTGACACCACTGGCTGGGAGCTGTCAGTCAGGGGCTGGTGCTGGATCTTTGGGGACAGGCAGTCAGCTCGCCTATTTCTAGTGGGCTCAGGAGGGGAAGAATGCCCACTGTTCTGGCTTCTGTATTCTGAGGCCTCTGAGGTCTGGCTCTGGGGTCTGTACGCTGGGGAAAGAAAACTGGTGTGACACAGCCTTGCAGAGGTCTGGGGAGAGAAGGTCACAGAACTCTGTCTAGGTAAATGACCACCTGGCAGGTTGGGTGCCACCCTCCTGTGCCTGCTGCATCATGGAGGGTACCTAGCCACTCACTGGTGGTGGTCAAGTACACCTAGGCCAGTTTAGAGAGGCAGGCTTCCTAGGCAAGTGTGTACTCAAGGCTCATCTGAAGTGTTCAAAAGACCTCACAGCAGGAGAACTATGGTGGCAGGACCCTGAGGACCACGGGGTCCCTCCCTGCTCATCTGTGTCCTTGCTGTGCTGTACATGTCACAGGGCCTGAACTCGGGAACCTCACAGGGTGTCTGGAGGTGACTCACCCAAAGCAGTGAGGTTAGTGCTGTGCTGGGTCCTTTCCCTCCAGCCTCAGCAGGAGATGACATTGAACTTTGCCTGGCTTCTTACCTGTACCCTTAGATCAGAGCATGGCCCACAGCCCACCTCACCTCACGGTCTAGGCCAGCTGCCACTGTCACGATGTCCCCTGTCTCACTGTTGATGGTGAACATGTTCTGGGACGGGCTCTGGGGTGTCTGGGTGAGGATCCGATAGCGTACCATGCCGTTGGCTGTGGTGCTGTCATCAGCGTCGTTGGCAGTGACTGTCATCACATAAGTGCCTGGAAGAGAGAGAACAGCTCAGGCACCTGCCTCTCCACACACCCAAGGCAGACATCGCCAATCGATCCCAGGGCTCTCTAGGCTGTGTGTGCCTATAGCATCCTTTGCCACCAGTCTGTCCAAGGTAGCCTCAAGAGCAAACTTGCTCACTCTGAACTCCATAGTGCCACTGAGGGATTTCCCCAAGGCCACTGCTCGCAATTTTTCTTTGTTCTGCTGGAGACAGATCAGGTCTGAAGGAGGAAGTTCTTTTCCAAAGTTCTGAGTAGTTGCAGCAGACCAGGCCTGAGCCAGGGCTGCCAAGGCCCAGTGCAGGTCCCTGATGCTGAGCCACAGGGAGAGAGCAGTGGCCCTGATGGAGGGTTGCTTACTGAGGACCGAGTGATCCTGCATGAAGTCCTGCCAGGTAGGGTATGAATGGAGGGACTCCATAAAAATGTCAGTACTGAAATATAAACCATACACATTGTTTGCTCTTCAAAGGAGCAAGCCCAAGCTTTTGGTTTAATTGTGTGACAGTCTCCACCATCTAACTTCAGAACACTTTCCTCACCCCAGAGAGAGACTCTACCCTATCACCAGTCGCCCCTTATCCTCTCTCTCAGCCCTGGAAGCTGCTTCTCTGCTTTCTGATTTGCCTGTTCTGGGTACTTCATACATAAGGGTTTATACAATCTGTGGCCTTTTGTGTCTGGCTTCTTTCACTGAGCCTAATAGTTTCAAGGTTCATTCCTTTTTATGACTGAATCCTAGTCCATCCTATGTGTGTGGTTAGTTTTTGTCAGTTTGACACAAACTAGAGACTGGGAAGTGGGAGCCTCAACTGAGGAATTCCCTCCATCAGATTGGCCTGTGGGCATGTCTGTGGGGATGTTTTCTCAATTGCTAATTGATGTAGGCAGGCCTAGTCCCTGTGGGTGGTGTCATTCTTGAGTGCCTGCCTTGACCTCCCTTCATGATGGGCTGTGAGCTATAAGCCAAATAAACTCACAAGAATGGGAAGGCCCAGGCAAACCCTCCTGTTGTTGGTTTGGGCCTGGCAGTATAGTATATCCTAGGAGAGGGTGACCTAGAGAGGAAGTCCCAACAGATAGAGCGCTACTATAGTTCAGAGAGCTCAGGGGAAGGTGATCAGAGGTGCTCAGTATTCCCTACAAGGAACAAGACAAATCCTAAACACAGACACACAGACACACAGACACACAGACACACAGACACACAGACACACAGACACACAGCCACACACACACACACACACACACACCCCTCTAGTGTGTATCTCTACAATGTTCCACACAATGCATAGCCATTAGTAACTAAGCACACAAGAAGACAAAACTTGACTGAAAGCAAAGAGAAAGGCAGACTGAGCAGTCCCAGGGGAGATTCAGATACCGGGAAAACAGATTCAGACTTAAAAACCACAAACAGCTTACAATGAATGATCATGGAGTTAAAAGGACAAGATCAGAACTTTTTTCAGAGAACTAGAAATTATTCTAAAAAACCAGAATGGCAATTTACATTTGAAAACTAGGGCTGACGAGACGGCTCAGCAGTAAAAATGTCTGCTGCGTAAGTCGGACAACCTGAGTTCAGTCCCTGGAATCCACTGTGGAAGGACAGCCAGCTCTTGAAGTCTGTCCTCTGACCTCCACACATGCGCCATGACATGTGTGTGTTGTGGGTACACATAAATGTAAATTAAAAATTAAAAAAGGAGAGTAGGCGGACCACCAGAGAGTGCCGAGTTCTGGCCTCCCTCTGGCCTCCCTCTGGCAGAGGGCCTGGGAATGCAGGGGACTGCCTGAGAGCACCAGATCCTGCCTCCACGTGGTGGTGAGCTCCCCCTAATAGTGCCATACCCATCCCCCTACCTGGGGTTTCGTGAGGCCCCTCCCAGGGCAGATCTGGCTTTGGTAGGCTAAGGCTGAGACCTAGCAGATAGCCTGAGAGGGAGGGTATCAACCTCCTTGGGTGTAGCTACTCTGATCTCAGCAGACCACCAGAGAGCCCTGAGTTCTGGCCTCCCTCGTGTGGTGAAGGAAGCCTGAGTGTACCTGACTGGAACCTGAATTGGGCTTCTGTGGTACCCCTGAATAGCTGATCTGAAGCCATCAGTTCCCTCCAAATTAAACCTGAGAGAACCAGAACCCTGTACCTACCAACTTTATATAACCAATAAAGAAAGGATCTAGGCACCCAGATGTGCTGGATAGCTTTAGAGTCAACTTGACACACCTGGGTTGAGGGAGCTTCAATCGGAGAATTGCCTCTATTGGACTGGCCTGTGGCCATGTCTGAAGGGTATCTTCTTGATGAGTGATGTGGGAGGGCCCAGCCAACTGTGGGTGGTGCCACCCCTGGGCAGGTGGGTCTATGGACCTGGGTTGAGGGAGCTTCAATCGGAGAATTGCCTCTATTGGACTGGCCTGTGGCCATGTCTGAAGGGTATCTTCTTGATGAGTGATGTGGGAGGGCCCAGCCAACTGTGGGTGGTGCCACCCCTGGGCAGGTGGGTCTATGGAGCATAAGAAAGCAGGCTGAGCAGGGGCCAGGGGAGCACGCCAGTAAGCAGCATTCCTCCATGGCCTGTGCTCTAGCTCCTGCTTCTAGGTTCCTGCCCTGAGTTCCTGCCTTGGGCTCCCTGATGAACTGTGACCTGGGAGATGTAAGCTGAATAAACCCTTTCCTCCCCAAGTTGGTATTGGTCAGAGTATTTTGTCACAG